GGACATCATCAACTGCTGGGGCATCATCCACCAATGGGACATCATCATCTGCTGGGACATCATCTACCAATGGGACATCATCAACTGCTGGGGCATCATCCACCAATGGGACATCATCAATGGCTGGGGCATCATCCACCAATGTGACATCATCAACTGCTGGGACATCATCAACTGCTGGTGCATCATCAACTGCTGGGGCATCATCCACCAATGGGACATCATCAACTGCTGGGACATCATCAACTGCTGGGGCATCATCCACCGATGGGGCATCATCCACCGATGGGACATCGTCCACCGATGGGACATCATCCACCGATGGGGCATCATACACTGATGGGACATCATCAACTGCTGGGGCATCATACACTGATGGGACATCATCAACTGCTGGGGCATCATACACCAATGGGACATCAACCACGGCCAGGGGCATTATCCACGGCCAGAGGCATCATCCACGGCCGGGTGCATCTTCCACGGCCAGGTGCATCTTCCATGTCTGGGACATCATCCACTGCTGGGTGCATCTTCCATGGCTGGGGCATCTTCCACGGCTGGGGGCATCTTCCACGGCTGGGGCATCTTCCATGGCTGAGGCATCAACCACAGCTGGGGCACCTCCCACAGCTGGGGCATCATCTATGGCTGTTTTGTTCAATCTGTATCTGAGCCACAGATCCAGATTATTAAACAATAATTTGAGTTCCACTTTTACAGTTTTTATTTGTTTCATAAGTTATTCATTAATAATTGAATAAAATAATTAAACCAGAATTTTCCCCTTTTCATTATTTCTATTTCCATATAGAAAGAGTTGTTTTAAGAAAACAGATGCCTCTGTCTGTGTTTGTGAACAGGAGTGTTGGGTCTAAAGCCTTTCTCTGGTAGCTCTGCAGGAAGATTGCCCACCTCACCCTTGCTTTCTGCAGGTTCCAGAGGATTCCATTTAAAGGAGCATCTCTCCCCATTCTGCCTCACCTGACACCAGCTCTTCTGTACCGACTGGCTTTCTAAACGCTTTCTTCCACCTTCACTTCATTGAATTCAAGACTCCGGAAAATAGTTAAAAATTATAAAAAGGTAGGAGTGGGGGTGATCTGGAAATCCCTGCTATAATATTTTTAAAGGAATCTACTGGAAACTATTTATGTTTTAAATAAAGCCATCCCTTAGCACTAGAATATCAAGCCATTCTTTTTTTTAACAACTTTGAGATATAATTCAAATGTTTTTATATGAACATATATGTGTGTATGTGTATATATACAACTATATACATGTGTGTATATATACACATAGTTGTATATACATGCACATACACATATGTATAGTTATATATAGTTGTGTATATATATATATATACATATACACACACACATATATATATATAGTTGTTTTAGGACACAAAAATACTGATCTTGAGAAAAAAGCATTGGCCTACATAAATATTGAAACTATCTGGCATAGCAAAAGTCCCCTTTAAGAAAATGACTTACAAAGCGCAGAGTGACAGAAAGTGCTCACGGCGTGTATATGTGAAGAATGTGTCATGTTGGCCCCAGCTGTCAACATTGCCAGTGTTGCTGCTGTGCTCAGTGCAGACAACTGTGGCATTTGTTCAGAACCTTCGGATGCTGAAGGTGGCTGAGCCAGCCCTGCCTGGGCCACAGATCCTAAATTAGACAGAGGGGAGGGACTGTGGGTCAGAATCAGCATAGTGAGGAGGGTGGGTGTGTGGAGCAGAGCCAACTGTGGATCCTCTCTCCCCAGGTGAGGTGTCCCCTCCTCTGTACTGTGAGTGAGGAGGGTAAAGACAGGAGCCCTGGGTATGGTTCAGATGCGACTCCACTTCCTGACACTCTGCTGTGGAGCCTGAGCTTTCCGAAGCCACCTTACATCTCCCAAAACCTTCACGGGAGCAGAGCCACTGCATTGAAATAAGAGCTGCGACCCACCTCTTCCTGGGCCCCTCTGTCCTGAGTTCTCACAGCTGACCCGGTGGGGTGAAGGTGTGTCCTGGCAGGTCAGTGTTGCCACCCAAACCTACCCAGTGGGCTCCCTGATGACCAAACTCCCCTGGAGGCTCTGAGTCATTTTCCAGCTGGGAGAGGCCATCTCAGGAGTGTCCCTCACTGTCCCACACTGTCCTCAGAGCCCAAATCCTTCCTGCCTCTGACACACCAGGGCATCTCAGGTGGAGAGCGTTGGCTGTCCTGATCCTCCTTTCTGAAGTGGCTCACGATGTCAGAGAGGGGACAGGGCAGCTGGGAATCCTAAGTAAAGGGTGTGGGTTGAAGGGAGGTCACTTGTTCCTGCCAGCCATGCCAGCAGAGCATGTGTGGCACTTTCTGTCGGTGTTTCCTGGGACCCAGAAGCGCAGAGTTTACTCACACTATTAACACTCATCATCAGCCACCTAAAGGCCTCTCTTTCATATTTTTCTTTATCACCATTTCAAATCATGTTTTCCTCCATCTCTGAGTCACCAACTCAAGTGTAAATCATGTGGTTCCACTCCAACTTCCAAATCATCTCTACAGACACTTAAAGAATTGATAGTGTGTTTCCATTTCTTAAGCAAATAATTTTTCCTTTTTAGGCCTCATCTGATTTATTTGTTATTTTTTCTAAGATTTAAACTCAAACATTTAATTTCATCCACGTGTGCATATGAACAATTTCCATTACTTCCAATGGGTCAGCATTGTGTAAAGTACATTTTAGTTTAAACCCTGTGCTGAGAATCCAGGTTGCTGCCAATACCATGTGACCAGTGAGGACTTCCTCCTGCATGTTTCCCTCCATCTCTGAACCACAGTGGACTAGCTGCATGGAGGGTGCACACTTAATGTTACTATGTGCTGAGGGACATCCTGCCGGATGGCTGACCTCCTTAATATCCCAGTTGTAAGAGCTTCTGAAGCTCCACAGCCTGGCTGGAAATTTATTTTTATTTTTTTAAATTGCAACATTAGTTGTCTACTCAACACTCACTGGTTTCATGCCTCACTCAGAAGTAACTGCACAATCCTAGGGCATCCACAGGAACCTATAGGTTTTGCTGGCCCCTGCCCCTGGCTGGCTGATCTCCAAACCCTCTCCCTGGCTTCCCGCTGAGGAGGCTCTGGCAGCTCCTGCCACTCCCATCCTGCTCCCCCCAAGCCCTTTTGCTTTGCTCTCTGCCCTTCCAGGCAGTTCCTCTCACACAGACGCACTGGGCTCCACAGGGGTTTCTTTCACTTCAGGTGGATCAGAACATGTGTTAATGTGACTTTTATTCACCCACATTTTGCCTTCTCTAAATTGCTTTGTTGTGATATTTGTCCATTTTTAGTGACATGTCCATTTTATGTCTTTTCTATTTTTTTTTTCTGAAATCTAGATTGTCCTCGCTAATATCTTTCCATTGTTCCATATCCCTCTGCAATTTTGCCTGTTGGATCCTTCTTCTAACAAAGCACCTTGAATAGTCATTCTGGAACTCAGAAGGTTATGTGACTTATCAAAAACCTCGGCAAGTTCAGCACATGAAAGTGCACTCAATCCCAAGTCATTAGCAGAGTCCACACTGAAACTAGTTTCTCACTCTTACACCCACCAGAATAGGCAAGTTATCAGAGACAAAAGTGCAAAGGGTGGTGAGGATGTGGAGGAACTTGAACTGTCTGGTTACTCTGGGAACATACATAGTTTCAACCATGTTGATAAATGGCTTTCTAGTGTGTACTACAGTCATCAGCACCTGTGACCCTACAGTCCCACTCCTGCCATCTATGTCCAAGAGACATGTATGAGTCAAAGATGTTGGTGTCCACCTGGGGGACTTTACAGAAGCCTTGTTTCAATCAACCATCATGAGAAACAGCAGAGTGAATGTAAAAAACACGGAGGTGTAAATTAGTTGTGCCAACTTTCTACAATGTTATATACTGACTCAGCAGTACAAAATGACAAAGGCTTCATCACATGGAACATGGGTGAAATTCACATATTCACATATAATTTTCAACCAGAAACAAAAGAGTACATACTGTAGGTTTGCATTTATATGATGTTTAAAAATAAATTTAAAATGTGTTGATCATGATCAGGGTAGGTATGTCCTGGGGTTACTGCCTGGAAATTAGCTGCAGAGGGGTCCCTGGGGGATTTACATCTGGATTGTGGTAAGACAGTGTTTGTAAGAAGGCAGCAGTCTGCACATATGTGTGCACTGTGCCACGGGTAAAACAACCATCACCTAAAAACTAATGCAAATATTATCTTTCCATCATGCAAGTGTCCATCCTTATTGTCTCCCTGTGAGTCTATCTATATTTTAAATAGAAGTAAATTCAATTTTGTATGTACAAGAACATGCTCACACTGCTCTCTTTTAACTGGGAGAATCATGATAGCAAATTCTGTAAAAGACATGACAAGAAAGGTGAATTAAAATCCAAACTCTTTTGAACACTGTTGCCAAAATATCACACAGTACATTAGTAATCTTGATTCTGAGGTTTTTTTTTTTTTATTTCTATTTTACTAAGTTTGGGATACATGTGCAGAATGTGCAGGTTAGTTACACACGTATACATGTGCCATGGTGGCTTGCTGCATCTATCAACCCGTCATCTACGTTTTAAGCCCCACATGTGTTAAGTATTCATCCTAATGCTCTCCCTCCCCTTGCCCCCTACCCCTGACACACCCCAGTGTGTGATGTTCCCCTCCCTTTGTCCATGTGTTCTTATTGTTCAGCTCCCACTTATGAGTGAGAACATGTGGTGTTTGGTTTTCTGTTCCTGTGTTCGTTTGCTGAGGATGATGGCTTCCAGCTTTATCTATGTCCCTGCAAAAGTCATGAGCTCACTCTTTTTTATGGCTGCACAGTATTCCATGGCGTATGTGTGCCACATTTTGGTTTTGTAAAGGAAAGACTGGCGTTTTGATATGGATACAAATGTGGTGGGATGAGGACAGGATCCCTACTGTTTAGGGTGCTGCTGGGGAGAGTGGTGAGAAATGGACATTTGGTTAGAAATAGGACCTGGGTGGTCCTCAGGGACAGTCCTGGGGTGGGGTCTCCAGGCTGTAGCTGTGGAGGGTTCCCTCTAAGAGGAGAAGGGACTCTATGCATTGCCCCTGCAGGGCTCAGGATACAATAGGAGTCTGAAGATGCTGACCTTCGGTTTGGAAGAAATGAACAGGAAGAAAGGTCCACTCTGTGCTGGTGCAGCCACTGGCCATCCTCAGCCAGGCCTTAGTCCAGCTACACAGACAGTGGCTCAGATCAATAGTAAGTCAGGCGGGAAGCTTTATAAACTGAGTTCATCAAGCCACTGACACTCCAGCCCAGGTGCCCCTTGTCAGATAAGGGCATTAGCTGCTCACCCACAGTTGGTCAAGTGGAGGGAAGCGAAGCAGTCATGTGACAGTTTAGAATGTTGCTTTCTAATACAGTTAGGGGTCAGTTGGCTGCAGGGGTCCCTTGTGACCAACCGATCATTGGAAACGTGTAGCCCATGGCAGCTGACTGTGACGCTGCTATGAAAGGATTGCCCTGTTTTGAATCACCCTTGTCTTTCCAAGGGGCTTCATTTGAGGTAAACCACATCCTGTTTGGGGTATGGGATGGAAAGGAAGAGACAGAGGCTGAGTCTTGTGTCCAAGTTCTTTTCTGGGCTCAGGCATCTATTCCAGGACATCAGCCCTCCCACAGAAACCTTGGGTCAGGATGTCTTGAGAGTCAGGGGAGTTCATGTTTTGGGGGGTCTAGAGCACGATCTGGAGGTCTGGAGTGTGAAGGCATCTGTGGCCCCGAGGCCTCAGGTACGTTTCTGCCCGGAGTGCATCACGCAGTAGTGTGGTAACTGGAAGGTCACATGCCTTTAGGAGAATTTCTTCCACCTGTGAAGTGCAGGCCACAGCTTCTGCTCTGCTCACCCTCAGGGCTGACGTGGGCATCACAGGAGATGATCGCACGTACTGTCTGTGCGCTGTAAAGCCTCTCACATAGGCAAATGAAGAAAAGCCAACCTCCACCCTCCCCTGCCCTAGAGCATCCATGTCTCCTCTCTGGTCACCCACTGTCAACTGCATAGCTTCTTCTCCCAGGCATTTAATGATGGAGGAGTCATGGAACATTGAAGAATCAGCCACTTTTTCTAAAGCTTTAACTCTGTTCAATGATCTTCGGCCTCATCATGCTAACCAGTCTACCCTATTAAAGTGTTTAGACAGCAGTGCATAGAACTGGAGGCTGAGGGGTTGCAGGACGGTCCCCAGTTCTCATGGCTCTAAGTGGGACTGAGCCCAGGCCCTCAGGCCCCAGCCCCCATGCTCAGTCACTCTGCTCAGCTGCCTTTCTGGACCATCTCATCATAAAGGCATTTTCCACACAACCTTTCTCTTAGTTGTTTCAAGTACACGTGAAAACCCAAGATCTTCCAGAAGCCCAGCGTTGGCTCAGAGGCTGTCGGGGAGTCAGTGCAGTGGGATCCACGGTTTGAGTTCTGCATAAATTATGATCCGTTTCCTCTGGTCTTCTGCCAACAAGATGTCAGCAGCTCTCATTACTGTGAGTGCATTTCCCAGGATCTTAGCTGATGGATTTGAGGAGAAAAGCATTTCCTCCTTCAAGAATCTATACAGCCCCAGACCAGCAGCAAGTCAAGAAGGGGCCCCCGACCAAGCACAGGTGCACCTGCAGATGGTGAGCTGACAGCACTGCAGATACTCAGCCCTTATGTTGATTCAAGAATAACGATTGCAGCTTTGTTCCAAAGTTGCATATTTAAAATAAATCAATAAAGATGCTAAGCCATAGTGTTATTCATGTGAGAAAATTTTAATTTACTGTTTAATCAGTAGTGTTTCAACCGCAGGAAGATACACTTACAGCTCAGCTTTGGTTCACATTTAATAGTGAAACACATCTGAAGCTCCTGATGAGACATTAACTGATTGTTAAATATTTGCTGCGATAGATCTGCACTTAAAATAGTGTTGCCAAATGACTCTTTAATTAATGGACTTTATTATTTGGATAACTTTTACATTAGCAAAAAATAGAACAGATACTGAAGTTAGCACAGACCTTTTTCCTCCATTTCCCCCGTAATTGACGTATCAGAATGGTGCATTTGTCATGGTTAGTGAACCAATATTTACACACTGTTAACTTATGTCTTAGTCAGCATTATGGATTACTTTCTATTTTGCATTTTCATTTTTTTTTTTTAATTTGCAATATCTTGCTCCACCTTGCATGCACTCATTGTTCTACTGCTGACAACCCCCTGTGCTTCACCTGTTATTCTTTCTGTCTGTTCCTTGGAAACAGCTTTTATTTTTTTAAGACCAATCTCACTCTGTTACCCAGGCTGGAGTGCAGTGGCACGTTCTCGGCTCCCTGCAACCTCCACCTGCCAGGTTCAAGTGATTCTCGTGCCTCAGCCTCTCAAGTGGCTGGGATTACAGGTACCCCCCACCACACTTTTAGTAGAGACAGGCTTTCCATATGTTGGCCAGGCTGGTCTCTGACTCCTGACCTTGAGTGATGTGCCCACCTCGGCCTCCCAGAGTGCTGGGATTACAGGCATGAGCCACCACACCCAGCTGGAAACAGATGATTTGTTAAATTGTCTCTAGAATTTGCCTTTTTACAAAATGTCACCTAGCTTGAATCATAGAGTATGTAGCTTCTTCAATAGACATTAAAGATCATGCCATGTGGGTCCATGGTGCCAGCACATTGCTTTGAAACATCCCAGCCTCCAGAACTGAGAAAACACTGCATTTATGCCACCCAGCCCATGGTATTTGGGTTACCTTTTCTTTTCTGGGGACAGGGTCTCACTGTGTTGCCCAGGGTGGAGCACAGTGGTGTGATCTAAGTTCATTGCAGCCTTGACCTTCTGAGCTCAAGTGATCCTCCCATCTCAGCTGGGACCACAGGCACACACCACCATGCCAGGCAAATTTTCTTTATAGTTTTGTAGAGATGGGGGCTGCACTATGTTGCCTAGGCAGTTCTGGATCTCCTGGCATCAAGCAATGTTGGGATTCACTCAGGGTGGCTGTCAAGATATTAAGGGAAACATCAGGGAAAGTTATGAGATATAGACTCAAACCTTTGGAAGGCAAAAAGATTTTCATAACTTGTAATAATGGAATAGGCTGAAGGCAGCCAGTTCTTACCTTAGAGCATGAGGTCACGGGTAAAAATTAGGGATAATAGAAGCTTCACCAGTTAAGTCTGTTTACCCCACATTCCTTTGTCTCTAACTCCCTTGTTTACTCATGTGGTCTGAAAACTAACCTTTGAGCCAATGGCCCTCTGGGAGAAGGTCGAAGGGAGATTACCCCTTTATGGTGTTTGCTCTGGGTCCTGGAACCAAACCTTTAACGTGTTAATTATCCACAAGCATGTTGACTTAGAACTTCTGTCTTAAGTCTAAACTGAATAAATGTGAGGAGGGACAGCGATTGAAGGCTTGGGTAGCTCAATGGCCCTCTGAGAGCAGCTGACTTGTTCATGGTACTTTGTGGGTGGAGGGTATTTATTCATCTGTCACAAAGTCAGGGTTTGCAGGACAGGCCCCCGCAGGTGGGAATCAACATCTCAAAGCAATCCACCTGCCTCAGCCTCCCAAGGTGCTGGGGTAAGAGGTGGGAGCCTCCGCGCCCAGCCAGCCTAGCAGCCTGCACTGACCCTGGCCGACTGTTCCAGATGATACTGGTTGGAGAGGGCTGTCGGGAGGGGCAGTACCAGGCTTTAAGCTGTGTGAAAGGGGAAGTTTTGCCCAGCAGCAAATCCTCTCTGAATTAAGAGTTTTGTGATTGGCAGCCACAGTGAACTACAGAGATAAGTCCTCCAGGGAAAGCCTGCACCTCCACCAAGGTGTCTGTGCTGGCTTCTGGGGCTTTTGACCACTGCTTTCCATTGGGTACTCTGTGTTCACAGGGGGAGCAAAAGACCTGAGAAACTCCATGCGGCATGACTGGTCCTCGTGGTCTCCTCTCTCCTGTAATTGTAGGTGGCCTCAGGAAAACAGCATGGATTCTGCAATCACTGACTCACTGATGAAAAATCCAGATGAAAAGAAAGGCGGGGCTTTCCTGCTGCCTTCAGTCTGGAGATCTGATTCCAGCTTCCCGCTGGGCACAAGGCGGGGTGGTGGGAGGAGCAGTTTTTGCAGGTGAAGAACCCTGGCGCCATTGTACAGTCCCTGGAGGAGCCATGTCCCTCTAGGTGGGTGGGTTTGTGTGCGTGGGGCTCTGGGGGGGTATTCATGGGTGTCATGCGGTGTGACTGAGTGTGTGTGGGATTGCTTCTCCTCAGGAGATGTGTCCCACCTACACAGCACAGATGCCACATCAACGTTCTCTAGGGGAACCCCACTAACACTGTGTGCTTTCCACACATTGACACATTCATGGCTCACCACAGCCTTCCCAAGGACTCACTTCCCAGCCCCGTGCCTCAGAAAATGAAGCACAGAGAATGACCCACGCTTCTGAGCTTTTCTGTGAAAGAGATGCAAGAGAGTGAGGGGTGGGGCCCCATGTGGAAGCTCAGGACCACTGGGTGGCATTCCTCCCTCAGCAGCGGGCCCCTGGGTCACAGGGCAGGGGTGATCCAGCCCCATGCATATGCCTGGAAGTACCAGGGCATGCGGAGTTCCAAGACACCACCCACGGTTAAAAGGTGGCCCCAGTGCTCACATAGCCCAGGTCATCTGTGCATATGTCACAGATTTTCACCGAGCCATTAGCCTAAAAAGTCCAAGTCATGGAAACAGAGTAGAAGGGTGGTGTCAGAGAGTGAAGAACATGGAGAGCTGGTGAAGGGCACCAAGTTTCAGTTATGCGATGAGTACGTTCTGGAGACCTGGCACACAGCATGGTGGCCATAATTGATAGTGATGAACTGCACACTCGGAATCTGCTGAGAAAGCGCACCTGGAATATTCTCACCACACACACAAATGCAACCATGTGAAGGGATGGGAATGTTTATGAGCTTGATGGCGGTCCTCATTTCACATTGTTTGCATATACCAAAACTTCACATTCTATAGCTTAAATATACATATTTTAGAATTGTTCAATTCTGTCTCAATAGAGCCAGGAAAATAGCCTTAGAAATATTCTGTGAGCTACACATCCTGGAAGTGATGAATTAGAACCGGCAGGAACCCTGGTGATCAGTGGGGCCCATCAGCCTGGCTGAAGTGCCCCAGGATTGCAGAGTTAGAGCACCAGTTCCTGGCCCACACCTCCCCCTGTAAGGAGCCGCCCTTCCGGCCTGTGTGAGCAGGTCCAGGGAGATGTCAGGAAGATACTGGCAGTTTAGTGGCAGTTAAACATGGCAGGAGAGGTCAGAGACTTTCTTGTTGCATCACGGTGTAGAGTTGGGCACATGGGGACACTGAGCATTTCCTGATGATTTAGGTGGCCTCTCGCTCCATAGCTGAGGATTCTGAGCCTCATCCCAGCCCTGCTTCTCTTTTCCAAGCCTCTTCCACCCAGGAGGATGACCCAGCAGCAGCGGAGCCCACGTGGCAAACCCACCATGCCCATGCATAGCAGGGCTGCATCCATCTCAAGCCAGGGCCCCAATTCATCCATGGGCAACACCACCAATGCACGGCCGGCCAGCCCCTCTGTCCTCCTGGCCTCCCTGAGAGGCTGCTGGGGGAAGTCCCACCCCACAGCAAGGAAGGAGTGCCTGTCTTTTTCCAAAATTGGGGTGAAGCTTTGTTGATGTATTTCATTTCAAATTGGCTCATGTATGAAAATCTGGCAATATACATAACATGTGATACTGTTTCCTGGCAAAACAGGGTCAGTCACGGATGGCAGCCTTAGCTCATAAACAAACTGGGAGAGGGCCTTCCCTCAGCACCTGTACTTCCTCCTTCTGGGACTAAGAATTTCCCAATTGGCAGCCAAAATAGACTCAGGAGACCCACCCTCCAGGGACAGCTCCTGCATATCCTACAGGTGTTCTCACCCTACCTGTGGGGCTTTGACTAGACTACAGTTTCCCCTCTGTTTTTCTAAAGCAACCTGTTCTGTAATTATGATACAGATGTGCTGGGAAGGGAAGAGCGTGGTCCCTTTAAATGATATGAAACAGGGGAAGGGAAGGGCTGGGTAGAGGAGGGTGAGGTCCCTGGAAGGGCTCCACCCCCACGGACCTCGGTGAGATACAAGCACTCCTGCCTTCATGCCTAAATATTGCATTTCCCACAACCACACCGGCCCACCACGTTGAGAGAAGCATATCAGTGGAGCAACACAGAGGTGGCTGGACATTGAGAGGGATGCCCTGTCAGGCACCAGCACGCAGGCAGGCCACAGGCAGAAGCAGAATGACTTGGAGTTTGGCCAGAGTGGTCAAAGAAGAGTCCCACCGCTGGGGAAGGGTTGGGCCACCAATGTCCCACCTCCAGGGGAAAGCCATCTCCCTGCTGGCTTCCCGATCTGCTGAGAGCCTCTCCCACTCAATAAAACCTTGCACTCATTCTCCAAGCCCGTGTGTGATCCAATTCTTCCCTACACCAAGGCAAGAAACCCTGGGATTGAGAAAGCCCTGTGTTCTTGTGACAAGGTAGAGGGTCTAATTGAGTGGGCTAACAGGTGACACTGGTAGACCGCAAGCTAAAGGAGCACCCTGTAACACACCCCCACTGGTGCTTCAGATACAAACACTCACCCCTAGACACTGCCATGGGGGCAGAGCCCCACAGCCTGCCCGTCTGAAGAAGTGAGCCGCACCCCCACCGCACGCCCTGTGGGGGGAACAAGGGAACCTTTCCTGTTTCAGTTACAGATCATCCCGAGAGTGAGTAAAAGAGGTGCATGTTCTGGAATCACTCACTTGCTGAGAAGAAGTGGAGGTGACGTGGAAAGTGGAACTTTCCTTTTGACTTTGGTTGGGGAGGCTCCTTGATTCTGATTCCTATGAGGGGTGAGGATCAGGGAAGTGGTGATGGAAGCTGATTTTCCAGATAAAGGGTAATGGGCGCATTTCAGGGAGCAGGTGGCATTACCCATTTGGCAGTGAGGGTCTAATACAAGTGGAAATGCACTGATTATGTGAGATAAAAGTATTTTATGAAAGACGAGGTAGCATTCAAATTCAGTTCATCTATATCTCACAGAATTCTTCCATTTAACATGATCCTAATCCATACTGATTGCATTGGGTCTGACACAGCAGGATGTATGCAGTTGTGCCCAATGCTTATGTTCTGCTCCACCCTTGGACTTAGAGGTGGGAAACTGGAAGATTACATTTATTTGACCTTTGGGGAGAAATTGCCTGGTGATCTAGTTAACTAAGGTTGCAAGGAAAACTACCAAACCTCTGACCCAGCTGGGTTGGTTTTGTAATATCATTTTGTGTTTTAAAACCTCTGCAAGAAAAGTTAACTTTTACAAAGAAAAGAAATACATAGAAATGAGGGACAGGAACTATGATTCTGACCATGCACCAGCCCATTTAATCTGCTGTGTCATTTCTCATCTCTGGTTCTCTTATCTCCGTAGTTAAAACAGGGGCCTTACCACCTCCTTATAGAACCAAGGGAGAAAACTCTATTTTGTATGTTCAGACAGAACTGCCTTTTCAGCATATCAGGGCAAGTGAGGCAAATCATTTTTCAGATAAAATCAGAGCTCATTTTTAGACCTAACATCAATTTTTACCTTTCTACCTTAGGAGGTTCATTACAGAGAATGGTGCAAAATACTTTAATGATCTTTTATACTCATTGGACATTTTTTACCCAAATAATTCTGTAGCAGTTCAACATTAGCTCTTTACTGGGGAATAAACTTATTTTTTCCTGGGCTTCTGAGGCCTTTCTTCACTGGTATATTATTATAACACAGGATATTTGGGGGGCTTGGGTTGGAGGACATAGGTGACAAGTCTGATCTCAGGCTGTATTTCCAAGGAGACTGTGACATGCTTAGGAGAGAGCTGCATGTGTCTTTGTCATCTTGTGGCCTAGTTCAGAGACTGTATCTACTTCATATCACTCTGAGGATTTAATGAAACAATACATCTAAAGTAAGTAGATTGGTGCCTGGAACATAAGTACCTAATAAACATTACTTATCATCACTTGATAAATATATATTCAGTGAATAGAAATGCTATATTAATATCATATAATCTGACTACAGATTATGTTAAATAGTAACATAATTTGTAGATTGTAAAGGATTTCTAGGAGAAGAGAGAGGAAATTTTAAAGCCTAAAGAAACAATACTGAGGACTAATTTCAGGGTTTTTTTTCTAGACATTCTTTTCCTATCTTGCTGGCTAATTACATTTTTTTAAACCAAGTTTTGCTCCATCACTCAAAGGCTGGAGTGCAGTAATGTGATCTCAGCTAACTATAAACTCTGCCTCCCAAGTTCAAGCAATTCTCCTGCCTCAGCCTCCCAAGTAACTGGGATTACAAGCATGTGCCACCACACCTGTCTAATTTTTAGTAGAGATAGGGCTTCACCATCTTGGCCAGGCTGGTGTCAAATTTCTCACCTCAAGTGATCCTCCCATCTTGGCCTCCCAAATTGCTGGGATTACAGTCATGAGCCACTGTTCCCAGCCAGCATTTATTGCATCTTTAAGTTTTGTCTAGCTTTTTCTTTGTACACATCAGTGCAATTTTACGGTGTCTTAGGAATTCTTCCATTTAACATGACTTTTAGTCTGATTTATGATATGTATAAATCATATATATGATTACAAGGAATAAATTAGGTTTTTGTTTAGTTTATGCTCTTAGTTTATTTTTAACTTTTTATCTAATTGTGGTTATCAAAGAATTCCCTGAAACTTAAAATTAGAGTAGCCCCATTCAGCTTGATAATTTTTTCCCCATTTATTTATTTTATTACATTTTAGGTTTTGGGGTACATGTGAAGAACATGCAAGATTGTTGCATAGGCACACACGTGGCAGTGTGATTTGCTGCCTTCCTCCCCATCACCTACATCTGGCATTTCTCCCCTTGCTATCTCTCCCCAGCTCCCCATCCTCCACCATCCCTCCCCATTTCCCCCCAACTGACCCCAGTGTGTAGTGCTCCCCTCCTTGTGTCCATGTGTTCTCATTGTTCAACACCTGCCTATGAGTGAAAACATGTAGTGTTTGATCTTCTGTTCTTCTGTCAGTTTGCTGAGAAAAATGGTTTCCTGGTTCATCCATGTCCCTACAAAGGACCCAAACTCATCGTTTTTGATGGCTGCATAATATTCCATGGTGTATATGTGCCACATTTTCCCCATCCAGTCTATCGTCGATGGGCATTTGGGTTGGTTCCAGGTCTTTGCTATTGTAAACAGTGCTGCAATGAACATTCATGTGCACGTGTCCTTATAGTAGAACGATTTGTAATCCTTTGGATATATACCCAGTAATGGGATTGCTGGGTCAAATGGAATTTCTATTTCTAGGTCCTTGAGGAATCGCTACACTGTCTTCCACAATGGTTGAACTAATTTACACTCCCACCAACAGTGTAAAAGTGTTCCTATTTCTCCACATCCTCTCCAGCATCTGTTGTCTCCAGATTTTTTAATGATCACCATTCTAACTGGCGTGAGATGGTATCTCAATGTAGATTTGATTTGCATTTCTCTGATGACCGGTGATGATGAGCATTTTTTCATATGTTTGTTGGCCTCATGTATGTCTTCTTTTGTAAAGTATCTGTTCATATCCTTTGCCCACTTTTGAATGGGCTTGTTTTTTTCTTGTAAAACTGTTTTAGTTCATTGTAAATTCTGGATATCAGCCCTTTGTCAGATGTGTAAACTGCAAAATCTTCTTTCCCATTCTGTTGGTTGCTGATTCACTCTAATGACTGTTTCTTTTGCCATGCAGAAGCTGTGGAGTTTGATTAGGTCCCATTTGTCTATTTTGGCTTTTGTTGTCAATGCTTTTGGTGTTTTGGTCATGAAGTCCTTGCCTACACCTATGTCCTGAATGGTTTTGCCTAGATTTTCTTCTAGGGTTTTTATGGTGTTAGGTCTTATGTTTAAGTCTTTAATCCATCTGGAGTTAATTTTAGTGTAAGGTGTCAGGAAGGGGTCCAGTTTCTGCTTTCTGCACATGGCTAGCCAGCTTTCCCAACACCATTTATTGAACAGGGAATCCTTTCCCCATTGCTTGTTTTTGTTGGGTTTGCCAAAGATCAGATGATTGTAGATATGTTGTGTTGCCTCTGAGACCTCTGTTCTGTTCCATTGGTCTATATGTCTGTTTTGGTACCAGTACCATGCTGTTTTGATTACTGTAGCCTTGTAGTATAGTTTGAAGTCTGGTAGTGTGATGCCTCCCACTTTATTCTTTTTGCTTAGAATTGACTTGGCTATGAGGGCTGTCTTTTGGTTCCATATGAAGTTTAAGGTGGTTTTTTCCAGTTCTGTGAAGAAGGTCATTGGTAGCTTGATGGGGATAGCACTGAATCTGTAAATTACTTTGGGCAGTATGGCCATTTTCACAACATTGATTCTTCCTCACCATGAACATGGAATGTTTCTCCATCTGTTTGTGTCCTCTCTTATTTCGTTGAGCAGTGGCTTGTAGTTCTCCTTGAAGAGGTCCTTTACATTCCTTGTTAGTTGTATTCCTAGGTATTTTATTCTCTTTGTGGCAATTGTGAATGGAAGTTTGTTCTTGATTTGGCTCTCCTTAAGTCTGTTATTGGTGTATAGGAATGCATGTGATTTTTGCACATTGATTTTGTATCCTGAGACATTACTGAAGTTGCTTATCAGTTTCAGGTGCTTTTGGGCTGAGGCGATGGGGTCTTCTAGATATACAATCATGTTGTCTGCAAATAGAGACAATTTGACTTCCTCCTTTCCTATTTGAATACCCTTTATTTCTTTTTCTTGCCTGATTAATCTGGCTAGAATTTCTAGTACTATATTAAATAGGAGCAGTGAGAGAGAGCATCCTTGTCTAGTGCCAGATTTCAAGGGGAATGCTTCCAGTTTTTGCCCATTCAGTATGATATTGGCTGTTGGTTTGTCATAAATAGCTTTTATTATTTTGAGATACATTCCATCGATACCTAGCTTATTGAGGGTTTTTAGCATAAAGGGCTGTTGAATTTTGTCAAAGGCCTTCTCTGCATCAATTGAGGTAATCATGTGGTTTTTGTCTTTGGTTCTGTTTATGTGGTGAATCACGTTTATAGACTTGCGTATGTTGAACCAGCCTTGCATCCCCGGGATGAAGCCTACTTGATCATGGTGGATAAGCTTTTTGATGTGCTGTTGCAATCGGCTTGTCAGTATTTTATTGAAGATTTTTGCATCTATGTTCATCATGGATATTGGCCTGAAGTTTTCTTTTCTTGTTGAGTCTCTGCCGGGTTTTGGAATCAGGATGATGTTGGTGTCATAAAATGATTTGGGAAGAATTCCCTCTTTTTGTATTGTTTGGAATAGTTTCAGAAGAAATGGTACCAGCTCCTCTTTGTATGTCTGGTAGAATTCAGCTGTGAACCCATCTGGACCTGGGCTTTTTTTGGGTGGTAAGCTCTTAATTGCTGCCTCAACTTCAGACCTCGTTATGGGTCTGTTCAGGGTTTCGGCTTCTTCCTGGTTTAGGCTTGGCAGGAGGCAAGTGTCCAGGAATTTATCCATTTCTTCCAGGTTTATTAGTTTGTGTGCATAGAGTTGTTTTTAATAATCTCTGATGATGGTTTGAATTTCTGTGGAATCTGTGGTGATATCCCCTTTATCATTTTTTATTGCATCAATTTGGTTATTCTCTCTTTTCTTTTTTATTAATCTGGCTAGTGGTCTGTCTATTTTGTTGATCTTTTCAAAAAACCAGCTCCTGGATTTATTGATTTTTTGAAGGGTTTTTTGTGTCTCTATCTCCTTCAGTTCTGCTCTGATCTTAGCTATTTCTTGTCTTCTGCTAGACTTTGAGTTGTTTTGATCTTGCTCCTCTAACTCTTTCAGTTTTGACAATAGGGTGTCAATTTTTGATCTCTTCTTGCTTCTCATGTGGGCACTTATTGCTATATATTTTCCTCTAGAGACTGCTTTAAATGTGTCCCAGAGATTCTGGTATGTTGTGTCTTCATTCTCGTTGGTTTCGAAGAACATCTTTATTTCTGCCTTCATTTCATTGTTTATGCAGTCAACATTAAAGAGCAAGTTGTTCAGTTTCCATGAAGCTATGCGGTTCTGAGTTAGTTTTTGAATTCTGAGTTCTAACTTGATTGCACTGTGGTCTGAGAGACTGTTTGTTACAATTTCCATTCTTTTGCATTTGCTGAGGAGTGATTTACTCCCAATTATGTGGTCAATTTTAGGGTAGGTGTGATGTGGTGCTGAGAAGAATGTATATTCTGTGGCTTTGGGGTGGAGAGTTCTGTAAATGTCTATTAGGTTTGCTTGGTCCAGGTCTGAGTTCAAGTCCTGGATATCCTTGTTAATTTTCTGTCTGGTTGATCTGTCTAATGTTGACAATGGGGTGTTAAAGTCTCCCACTATTATTGTGTGGGAGTCTATGTCTCTTTGTAAGTCATTAAGAACTTGCCTTATGTATCTGGGTGCTCCTGTATTGGGTGCATATATGTTTAGGATCGTCAGCTCTTGTTGTTGCATTGATCCTTTTACCATTATGTAATGCCCCTCTTTGTCTCTTATGATCTTTGTTGCTTTAAAGTCTAATTTATCAGAGATGAGAATTGCAACTCCTGCTTTTTTTGCTCTCCATTTGCTTGGTAAATCTTCCTCCATCCCTTTATTTTGAGCCTTTGTGTATGCTTGCATGTGAGATGGATTTCCTGGATATAGCACACCGATGGGTTTTGGTTTTTTATCCAATTTGCCAGTCTGTGTCTTTTGATTGGGGCATTTAGTCCATTTACATTTAGGGTTAATATTGTTATGTGTGGATTTGATACTGCCATTTTGGTGCTA